TCTTACTCTAGCGTGGGAGTTTTCTTACTGTAGCGTGGGAGTTTTCTTACTCTAGCGTGGGAGTTTTCTTACTCTAGCGTGGGAGTTTTCTTACTCTAGTGTGGGAGTTTTCTTACTCTAGTGTGGGAGTTTTCTTACTCTAGTGTGGGAGTGAGTTTTCTTTAAAGTTTTCTCATTAAGTTGAAGAAAACTACGGCTCCCAGGAGGTGAGGCTGCCTCCCTGCACGGCTGACGGGGTGTGGTGGTACAGGGTGGGAGGACTGGACTTGGGGGTGTCCTGTGGGTCCCCTGCCCCCAGGCGCTGAGGCTGAGGGAAAAGGTGTCCAGAGCGAGTGGCAGATGCATTTCCAGGGCGTGGAGCCTCTTCTGGGGTGTGACATCCGGGGCCTGGGCAGGTGCCGGCAGCGGTCACTGAAGTGACCAGTGAGGGGTACGGCTATGGAGGGGTCAGTGGCCGCTGACTGGCTGCTTGAGTGAGGGCCTGGGTGGGTACAGGGCTCCTCGTGGGGACCGACATTGGGGACAGGGGTGGTGGACTTTTCTCCTGGAGCTGTCAAGTCCTGTCAACAGTAGGTGACCAGCAGGACCTGGTGAGCCAAGATGGGTCCTGCATCTGGCCACCGTCAGCAGGCGTGGCTGGTACACTTGGCCTGCTGCCGACCCTGGGGACAAGGTGCTGATAAGTGGCTGCTGGGGAGTGAGCCACACTCGGGGACTCACTCGAGTGGTTTCGTGGTCACCTCGGAGGAAGAGGCCCCTTGGCGGAGGAAGAGATTGAGGCGCCATACAGCTTCCTGCCATTAATAAGCCTGTATCGCACGGCACCTTGCAGGAACTGTGACAGCTCCCGGCCTGTAGCTGCTTCCAGGCGCCCGGGACTCTCAGTGCCCACTGGGTCACTGTGTCCTATAGGACAGGTCACCTGGACAAGGTGGGTCTGCTGTGAAGATATGGCATGGGTGCTGGACACGGCTGTTCCATGACCTGGGATGGAGGGAATGGGGCCCCAGGCTGCCAGGTGCTTATTCATCGCAGACAGGCAACTCGAGTAGGTGTGGGCTCGAGGGCGATGTGG